CGACAGACCCGCGAGTGCGTCTGGCGACACAGACCGGTATGAGGGCATTCAAGCGGTCCAATTGCACACCCTCGACCATGAGCGAATTCCAGGACTTTTGTGAGACTTTCGGTGCATCCCTGGGATGTTTCCAGTAGAGCTGGGAATTCAGATTTCCAGGACGAGCATCAATACCAACGAAGAGGCTCCGTAGCAGTGCTATTGTATTTCATCGTCGACGGGTGTGAAATCAACGCGACAGGCGCGAGGCAATCGCGGAGAAATCGGTGGCACAGGCAAGGTTAAAACTGGGAGGGCTCAACCTTCGGCCCGAGGGAGTGTGAAACACAACCCAGCGAACGTGAGAAGTGGGTCTGGTGTACCATTAGCCCGTTTAGATTCATTGAGAATTCGTCTAGCAGAGAAGGAATGACGCACCCGACACAAGGCCTCTAACGCCGTCATTGGAGAATTCGGGGACAGGAGCGACCGACGCCGACGGTCCGGTTTGTCATTTTTCTTAATCTCCTCCGATTTATGGGGGCTAGATAAAATCTCGGCCTCGGTCATCCTGCCTTCTTCAGTCTTGAGGTTAGGGCAAACTAGAGATTCCCTCACCGCTCTGAATTGGCAGATTTAGCTCTCTTCAACCTGAACGGCTCGGAGAGGTCCAACGGCTTGTGACGGAGAAAATAATGGGACTCAGACGAAGAAACTGGAGAAAGAGCGTTCGGCGAATCCAGGGGAGAATTTCCATGGCACACCGCACCGGAATCAGCGCGATGCCGGTGCCTGTCCGGGAGGAACTATCCGGTCCGATGTCTGACATAACGACCAACTCGAACAGTATTTCATTCGAGCGGCGAAGTCGCGCGAGGGGAACATATTATGTCGTTGCTTCACTGTGACTCATTCCGAGCGGAATTTTTAGCACGAACCGCTTTTTTTTCATCGCGACCGGAGCTCTTGGCACATCTGGCACAAACAACTGTTCCTGTTGCTATTTCGGTAATGTTTTGTATCTCTGGCATGAACGTGGCCGCTGTGTGACTTCGGGATGTCTAATGGTTCTCAACGATACAGGGCTCTGTTTGCCCGCTTGTTTTTCAAAGAAAGCCCAAGCAGGATCATCTGCCGATTCTAACCCGTTTTATCACTCGCGAGTAGACTCGCTGATCGCGTGCGACAATAATTCAAGTCCTTAGCGGTCGAATAATCACACTCTCTTTGCTAGAAGCCCGTAGATGAGCTGCTCGACCTCCGGACTGAACTCTGTCGGCGATTTCGAGCCGGTGTCTCTGCCATGCAAGGAATCATAGCATCGGTGAGGTCAGCGCGTAAGAGCAGCATATCTCCTTTTGCGTCAGATCCTGATCCTTGACCGCATTTGCGAGTTCACAATTATCGATCGACTCTGTTCTTACCCGGACGATGCTCGGATCTGAACTAACTCAACATCTCATCTCGACGTGGAAGCCAAACACCGGAAAGCCGCGTTGGAGGTGAGCCCCTGGACTCACAGATTTCCAGGGCATTCTCGAAGCTTTCCGGAATTCGAGAGTATCGTGATATTGTTTGAACAGACGCTCGTGCTAGCCTTCCAGCGAATCTGGTGGCAGCGATTAGCCTGCATTCGCGGAGATTGCAATCGATTTCCGGCATCGCATTAGGAAATGCTTCCAGGATACTCTGGTGCTTTCTCTATCTGTATCGTTCGCCAAATGGCGCCGTCGCAACGCCGTGATACCCAGGCATGGGCCGAACGTTAAATTCGGATAAACTCCAACGGAAAAGTTCCGGGGAGGGAGCAGAACCCCACCGCAAACTGCCGGACATGAGAATTTCTACCGTGTGCCGCACGTTCCTCGTAGTCGACAGCCCCATCATGCGGCAGCTTCGTGTTGCGCGAGGCTCTTCGTGGACATCGGAGACAATCAGACGACATGTCGATCAGACGACGCAGAAGTGTCGCGACACTCCTGCGCGGCGTTTTTCGGGGAGATTGACCTCTGCCCCGCACGCTCAACCTGGCGGTGACGAGCCCCTGTACGTTAGGGGACGTTGGTATAGGGGAGAGGGGATACGGGGAGATGTTATCAGCCGAAGACCTGCATCTAGTGCGGATAACTATTCTAAACATCCTTTCGAAGAGGCTAGCGTGATATGAGGGGCTCGCCGGCCTCCGGGCTCTAATCCCGGAGAAGACGTCTACCGAGCATCGGTGAGGAAAATCCGTAAAATCGCACTTTAGAAGTAGGGGTCGGGCACGGTATCCGGAGCACTGAAGATTCGTTTTGCACCCATCAGCCCGAAGACCCATCAGCCCGAACGCTGAGTCGGAGCCCCCGTCTCTCAAAGAGTCCCGCTAAATTGGAGGGCTGGGAGTTTGGGAGGTCGAGGTTGCGAAGCAGAAACGTGCTGCAGGGTCTAGTGGGAGCGCTGACCTGAGTCTGCCCGCGTAAGAAAAATAAAAACGAAGACACCTTTCGACGAGCCGACGACGATTTATCGCGTGAGTGATTCCGGGGGCATTCCGAGAGCATTCGCTGGATCTTGTTTTTTTTTGCTCCTGACGTTTGAGATGGGTTATCATCTCAAAAAGATTGGCTTGACTCTTCCGCATGCAATCGCTTTGCGGCTTATGCCAGCCCTCGATGTGATTGGTCATCCTCGTCTCAAAGTTCCTGTTGATTGAAATCGGCTTCTATACCTGAAATTGTTTTACAGCCGCCAAGGGAAGACGCTTTCATTTTCCAACCAAGTGTTTACGAAATATGTCTTGAATTGTTCGAGAGCCTGATAGGTGAGGTGCTCGCTGCTCGGCGAATCGCTGTTGATTTGCAACCAAGCTTCATCGATTTAATTGAGGGGCATCATGCTCAGCGCAGAAACGCATCTGAGGAACCCATGTAAGATTCATGGGATTTCAAAATCTGATCGTAAGAGGGCTTGAAGCCCGGATCCGACCCAAGATAATGGGAATCCTAAGCTCCTGACGGCGCGGTCGTCGTAGAAGGATTGCAGACCGAGCTGCTGAACCTTACCCCACAGTGCCTGACCGGAGGTTAAAGTCTCCCGCTGTCGGGAAGCTCTCTTCCACTGCTTTCAAGACCGCTTTTTCGAAGTCCAATCGTACGGTAGCGGGTTGGAAAACTTTTCCAATCGGTACGGCATAGTCCTTCAACAGTGTGAATACTCCACTATAAGTATCCCTCGATTTGTCAGACAGCAGGATGTAAACGAGAGGCATAATTTGCTCTTGTAAAACGCATGATTCGTATACAGCCAAGAGTAAGAGTCGAGGCACCACACGGAAACTTTCCGTCGGAAAGTTCAATCCTTGTAGATGGCGGGAGCTTCGCAGAAGATCCTTATCGAATCGCGGGAAGCGAATCCCAGAATTCTATCGGACGATCCTTGATCAAAGAGTGGGAGGACCTCGCCCTCCAACGTTTCCGTCCATTGTCCCTCCAAGCTGATCTCCGACAAAGACGCTGGCAACTTCGGGCGGATCTGCGGATCTTTTCGGGATCGTCGGTGGAACGTCTTTCCGAGACAGCATCGGACAGAGCTTCGTCACAGACTTGCTTGCACGATTCTTCCGGCTGGCGAACAATTGCCTTTTTCATGGCAAGCCTGGCGTCTCGCCTTATGCGATCATCCCGCTCTGCACCATGATTTTGAGTTCCAGTTCGCCAAGAGACTACCGGCTCGGTGTCCTTTCAAGGGAAAGATGGCACGGATGAGGACACGGATAAATGATTTCTCGATATCTATCAGACCCGCTCATAAGGGAATGACTCGAACCTTGACTATCACCACCCTAGCGGAACAACTCTCGGCCCTAATTCACCGACAAAAATATTTCTCTTCCTTCTTTTTGTCGACCTCGTACATGAAGTCATTGACCCGGAGGAGAGGATTCTCCCTGGCTGACGGGATCTCTTGGACACTCAATTCCATATTCGACATCGACTTTAACTTACAACGAGTCTCTGAGCCAGGCGAGGAACGAAGCTCTCTATTGTATTCGAGGGAAAATAGAACGCTGATATGCTCCCCTCTGGGGAATCGTGAAGTCGCTTCATCCGCGAACGCCGCGCTAATTCGCCAACAACGACAAGAGAGAAGCGAATCCCCATCGAGCTGCCTGCCGACTTCCTCATTCATGCATACAGTGGGAAGAGACTTCGGTTCCACCCGCATTAAGGAAAAATCTGAATTATCGGTACAAGATATACCAAACGCCTAAAGGATCCACTTGTCGGAATACAGGAGTGAGAACCCCAGTTCAGAGGGACTGCATGGAACGGCGATTGATGTCCCCCGCAAGTTGGAATACGCGTCTCAATGCGCGGAGCACATCTGCATCAAGTCCAGTACAGTCGCAATGCGTGAAGACGCTGAAAGCTGAGAAGTTTCATTCGTGTCTCAGGTTCCTCGGTGCTCTCTATGACGAGGATCTCCGCCCTTCGTTTAGATTTGATACGATATCGGGACTAGGACATGGCGTTTGGTTTTCAGTACCAGGCTTTTTCTAGAGAGCTGAACAGGATTCTGATCATACCAGCGGAAATGTTCTGGCCGACTGTCAGCGCATATAGAATCCATGCGATGACTATTCTGTACCGTCGAGCATCCTAGAGCGAGTGTGGAATCACAGCACATTCGATCGATACTCCAATTTTCCATTATTGTCCCGGAGAGCGAAGCAATTGGGCTTTCAGCAGGGCCTCGAGAGGTGTTCCCTCCGACTGAATGACACTGAATGATTCGAAACGGCAGTCGCATGATGGCCGTCGATGGAGCCAGGAGACAGCGAGTTGAGAAACGGGAGGCGTGACCCGCCGCACAGTTCATTTACTTATGAAACGCTTGTTTTATTGATTCCAAATAGATGATCGATACCGATGAAACTCGTGAATTACAGCATGAAAAACAATGTTAAGGGTGAAACTGAGCAGGAAAATGATGTTGAGTATCGTCGATGTGTCTTTGCAGCTATGACTACGGTCACTATACTACCGGCAGGTGTTGCCTATCGCGGGCAGCAATTGCAACTCTTTCTGGAAATCGGCAATGTTCGTGTAAACCTCCTCGGGTTGAGATGGCAGCCCTCGTCCTATCTGAGCAGTCCCGTCTTCTTTCTCGATGACGGTGACAATTACTTTTGATGATCGGTTGTCTACGACGTATTTCTGGTGGAATTCTGCGACGTCATCGACCGTCAATTGGCTCAAAATCTCAGCATAGCGTTTTTCCCTCGTGTAGTCACAGTTGCAGTCCAAGAGTTCCGCTCCCAATCTGAAGTTTACGGAATATTATTTGAAGTCCGTAAACAATCTAGATATTTTTGTGCAACGTCTCTCTCGCGCCGAGCAGACTCCCCGATCGGAGGCAGATCTGAGGGATGACCTCGTTCCTCTTCAGAGAAGATGCACTATTGAAAAGAAGTGAGACATACCGCTCCGAATGCGCTCACCTTTCGACACGTTTGATCGGCTTGTGGAGCTTCTTCAGGAGAACTGCCGAACGATGCTGATTGAACTGTGCTCGAGTCATGCCCCGTATGTAGTCTTTCAAATAGACCTTCATGAAGTTGAAGACCCGATCCGTGACATACTGAGTATCGTTCTTGGTCTCGACATACGTCATGAGGCCTGTGATTGATAGGCGTCTTTGTTGATGCCGGGAATTCCTTGATCTGGTATGTGTTCATTCCATCGGCAAGCGAGTTTCCCTCGCTCATTAATCAATCATCGACATGAAGAGAAACGCTCTGCGCAGCCTTCTCTTCGTACCTCATCTGCAAAGTTTGCACTCACCATGCGACCTGGAGTCTTGAGTCGAAATCACACCGGCGCCGTATCCCAATTGTTCTTTGGTTCGCAAAACATTGAATGCCTCGGGACTGGCAATGTGTACCAGAAGCTCTCGTAACACAACCTCATTATCGACCGAGCTGGGTCCTATTTCGTGGTAGGTAGTCACGGACCTCTGCGATTGGTTTTCGTCATATCCCACGTAGTAAAATATGCTTCCAGGCGGGAGCTGGTACTTTCGCGGTAAGTCTTCGCAACTGGCCTGATAGACATCCTTACCTGGGTAAACAAGAAGTCAGTGAGTTCAATTACGATGCTTTTCACGGAGAAACGCTGACCCTCCACCAGAACTCGGAACAAATGTCGGAAGAAGCTAGCTCGTGTTCGAACCGAGGACTCCGAGGGCAGCTGTGTTATTGTTGAGATGCCATGAATAATTATTACTTACCACTGCTCCTCGGAGCGATCACGTCGAACATTTCCTCGGCAGTCTCCCTCCGGATATTCCCCGAGACGAATACTTTGACAAGACGGGGCTCCCTCACGGTTGTGAGGAGACTCCGGACGTCTTCCAGATTGATTGTGTCGAGGAGTTGGATCTTCAATTTCTTAGTGGTCAAATTCGATTTGAGAAGGAGCCGCTCCTGAATGTTGCCGTGCTCCACAGTCGAATAGAGCTCGGAATCGGCGAGGGAAATCCGATAGAAATCTTTGATGACACCGAGAGTTTTGACATCGAGGGTGAAATCATTGAAGTGCCTGAAGACCAGCTTGATTACTCCCGGCAGGACTGAGCTGTAAGCGTTGAATGAGAACATCAGCGAACCATAATTGCCGAAGGAGCTCTTCGCTTTCAGAGACGATCTCACGTTGATTCCACTGTCCTTTGCCATGTAAAGTTTATCGCTCAGGGACCGCTGGAAAGCGCGCAAAATCAGTTCTGCTATGATTCCTGCCTTCGAATCCGGGCCGTCGATCGAGCTCTTCCAATACACCGTAACGTCCGCTTTCGGGACTCCGAAATCTGTTTGCAACAGCCACAGCCTGGATAGACTCCGATTGGCTATGAGGACGGGTTTCTCGCTATACGCAGGGTCGATATCAACGACGCGCGCCTCCCGGGGAACCAGGGGATTTTTCTGCGGTAAGGAGAACTGATCCTGCGCGGCCGACCAGAGTCGCATCGTTTGCGGTAAAATGTCACGCACTTTGTATTGGGCGTGATAGTACTTCTCAACCTTGTCCGTTTCGTTGGCGAACGACTGGGAGACGGCCAATACTCGGCAATTTTCCGGTTTCAGTTGCGATAGGATGTAGAGCAAGTTCTCGTACTGGAAGTCGCCGAGTAATCGAGACCCCGAAATGACATGATCGATATCGTAGGTCATGCGGTTTTCCACGAGATCCAGAATATACACATAGTCACGCCGCGTCTTCCGGAGCTCCTTCGTGCTGAAGAACTTGAATTCCAGTTCCTCCACAGCGCGGAGGTCGGAGAATACCAATTGAAATTCCTCCCTGGTCCTGCTCCGCAAGAAATTCAAATAGGCGAACGTGATCTCGACGATTTTGTTTCGGTTCTTCAGGCCTTCCTTCGTCAAGTGGAACTCGATGGACATCGTGGTGCTGCCAGCGTAGTTCTCGTCGTATATCGAAAGAGTAGATATCCACAGATGATCCTTGATTTTCTTCACGAGACCGCCCGAATGCTCACTTCGGAGAATCATTTTGAGGAACGCCGTCTGACTGGCCGTCGTAACGTTCGACAGCGAGAACCTGATGTACAGATCATCCACGTCTCGAACAGCCATCACAAGAATCTCCTTCCCGCTAGTGTTCCGGTACGGACTGGGCCACGGATCCTTTCGGATTCGTGTATTTTTCACGTCGTGGAAATTTTTGATCGCAAGTCTCTTCAGGGTCTCGGTGTCAAAAGGTCCTCGCACCCCGAGGGCCATGCTATTCGACGAATAGTACCTGTCGTAGAATTTGCGCATTTCTACGTGAAGCGGGGACTTCAAAATTTCGACTCCCTGCATCATGTTGTGGGACGAGCCGCAATCAAACATCCGTTGGGGATGGTCCGGGTCCGAAGTCTCACTGTCGACCGCCTCCACACGTCGACCATCCTGGTTCATTAGCCGCTTGTATTCACTATCCACGTTCTGCAATTCACTCATAACAGTTTCACTTTTGATCAGAGGCTCCTTCATCATCCACCCAAACATGTCCATGGCCGTCCCGAGGTGATCGGGATCGATACTAAAGAAGTAACAGGTTCGCTCTTTCCCCGTGCGAGCATTCAGAGTACCACCGTTGCTCTGTATATGACTGATGAAGTCGCCATGTCCGGGATACTTCTTATTCCCGAGAAACAATACGTGCTCGGTGAAATGCGCCAATCCCTGGAGTTCCACCGGATCGGACCAGGAGCCCACTTTGACGCAGAGCGCGACCTCCGCGTCTTCCAGGGAGGGGTCCGATGCGATGATGACATCCATGTCGTTCCGCAGTCGCAAACTGATGTACGAAGCGTTGTCGACGACGGGTTTCTTGGTGATCTCTTCGGACGAAACGACGTAGACTTCATAGTCTGGCCGGTGAAAGCAGAGAATCAGAATGAACACGAGAAGAGCGGCAGATAATAGAACCAACACAACGGCCCTGGAATTGGTCACCATTCCGAGACTCCGGCGTGTTCTCAACGGCATCTTCTCGCGCGGCTCTCCGATAGAATCATCTTTCGTCTCTTCTTCCCGCCTGTCTCTTCCCCACTCCGCTCATCTTGCCCTGCGCACCACGGAAGCAAGTCAGCCCATCGCCGACACTCCACCGTTCAATGAAATCCCTAACGATTTATTCAATTCCTGATTGACATTGAGAAAAAAATAGTGTCGGACAAACATTCTAGCGAGCTTTCCTGTCGTCGGTGACGGTTGGATGGTCTTTTGAGAGCTTCTTGCCGTGAACCGAATGAACGGCTTTGAGGTCAAAAACTTCTCCGAGCACTTCGAGAAAAGCGGCCCGGTCTATGGTGCATTCGTGGTGGTCGGCGGCCATACATCGAAATTTCGAGCCCTCCTCCTTATTCCCTTATTTCTGCAGCCGAAGGCTTCTAGTCACGTCGGATGGACTGCCAAACCTTATTATTCATCTTTGCCTTTTTTCCCTTGCGGAGCCCTATGAGCCCTACGACGGCCTCTAGCGAAAAGACTTCCGGACAAACCGCGACCGACACTTCTGAAAAATGTTTCCCGAGGGCCAGGATGTTTGAGATTGCATCAAGCTCTCGAAGCCCCCGCTTCCGTGCCCTGAGCGGCAATATTTTGGTTCCGTTCAGGAGAACAAGTTGAATTGGACTTCGACGGCGCCGAGAAGTAACTACTCACTCAGAGTACCTATTGACAGAGTACTCTCAGCACCACGTCATCCCGCGACGAACGCCGTGCTACGGACCCAACCAGCAAGCTCAGAAGGAATGCCTTGTTTGTGAGCATAGGATCGAGTAAATGTCAATGTAAGCCCATGTGACTGGGTCCGAGTTTCCGTTACTCCATTCTCGAAGGAGACATCCCGGATCTTATTGAGGGTCCTTCTTTTAATCACTTGAAATAACATTGATTATCTGGTTTATGTTCGAGGGAACAGCTTTCGTCGAACGCGGACAGTCGAGACAAGCTCGTTCCATCGACGCCCGCGACAGCGGCTGTGACGGAGCCGCCAGCAGCGTGACATTCGATTAGACCTCGATCGAAAATCCGACCTCGATAGAATACTGCTCATGCTGTACTGTTCGCTCCATCAATCGCTCGCTCTTTCACTTGCCCGCTCGCTTATGAGCTTGTAACGTACGTAATTGAAAACTGAACTCCTCCTCTCGCCTTCCTGATCCCAATGCGGTCACGGCGGCGCGCCGCGGCTCCTGACGCGACATATCGTGGTGGCCTCAGTTGTACAATTGTCTTCCGCGAGCAGATTCTCTGAATGAACCACGCACGTCTTAGTTAGGCGCACGTCAAAGGATGGTCTGCTCTCCATGCATATGGGTTTCGGCCGCGAAAAATATACCGTCGACCTGATTTATTGTCGCAATGCGATACTGTAACAGAGTCATTTACAGTGATTGATCACCGGAGACGCTCTGTCTGTTCGACCGTCGTTCCAGCCGCGCAATTGGGTGCCTTCCCTACCCTGCAATATTCTTCGATCAGCTCTCTGCTCGAGACGCAATCTCAGGAAATCATTGGCTCTGCACGTCATGGGAGGATGTCGGGTCGGAGCTTCTGTAAAAGCTGGAACGGCGACCCCCGACTCGATCAGACACCTGGACTTTACCGCGAATACTGGTTCGCTCTGCGATATTTTTCCGACACGAACGGGGTACAATCAGGGATAATCGATACTCCAAAGGTTCGTTTCCTTCGGTAAGTGCGGCGTTCGGGAGCGCATTGCCGTGGAGTCTCTGACGTAGTGCTCTCGGAGAACGTCAGCAGGAGGGATCGTTCTGTGATCGGGTGCTGAGTCAACCCGAGAGAGAGATTCGCTTGATTGACGCCAAGAAGAGCGAGCATTGAGTTGAGGCTCATTGGTAATGATCTCATCAAATAGCTCCGATCGAGAGTGCTCCTCGAAAATTCAATGGAGAAACTTAATAGATCCCTTTGACGATTCCGTCATGGAGATTTTGATAAACGAAATCGTTCACCGGGTCTACCGTCAGGAAAGATACAGCAGAATCTCGCGACTGCAACTCCTACGACAGAAAAAGGCGTTTACCAAGCCGAATCTTTCTGAAACCGACCCTATGAACGTGGAGCGGCTGGCGAATCAGATCGACTCTTCGAAACTCGCTGATACCCTCTTCCTGCCCTGTGCTTTTAGAAAACTTCGACAGGCGTCGTTCACGGGAACTTCTGTTTGACGGTCGCTCTCCCACATGCGTAGCACCCTGATACAACCAGGTCTCACTGATAATGATGGTCTATCGAGAGTCGAGAAGCAAGTGGGACGAATTGTTGTGCTGAAGAAACTTTTGGTTTATTTCGAAGACCTATTGTTCCCGATGCAGGCTGAGCACCGCGCTGAGAGAGAGCGATCAAGCTCTTCACAACGACTGATATCGATCGGAGAGTTCCAGCGACCTATGCCATTCGTTGCAGAATGCCCTCAGCGATCGCATTGAAAACGTCAAATCCACGATACCACGGTCCCATTGCTCCTTCCGTCAAATTTGGACCCGCCTCCAAGTTCTGTAAAGAGTGGCCTCTTCGCAGATGCAGGCCACTGATCCAATCGAGCTCTACGGAAATGCAAGGAAAGAAGAATGATCGGATCTCATGAAGTCGTCACCTCGTAGTGTTGGAGGGTGATGCACTTCGGGAAATGATTCGTTACTTGCTTGATGATCAAGGCTCCAACGATGTCGCCGCAGTCGATCGATTCGATGATGCTCGATAGCGCAGAGACGACTGACAGTGCGTGTGCGAGTAGTTTGGGGTGTCGCCCGAACTCATCGAGCGGGACTTCAGCGAAGGACAGGAATCTTGTCTGATCTTAAGGATGCTGGGCAATTTATCTGGAGCGAAGAATACCGCCTCGATGACCCCATCCATTGCTACCTCTCACTTATAGTGATTTCCCGTAGGAGCTTTGCAATCAGGATCGCGGTTCATAGGTAGACTTTGCATGCTCCTGCGGGAAACTCACTCTTCGAAGATGTGCGTTGCGAGGAGCTTTCCGTTCTTGCTATGAGAGAGCCCATCTTTCTCGTGGAGGAGTGTTCTCGTCCATAGCCAGACCCGGCGTACTCCCGCTTTGGCCCATGGTTACGTTCGACGCGCCCCTTCTGAGCAGTTTCCCACGGTCTCAGAGAGCGCATCTAAGTTCCTGCTCCAATGCACAGACCTCTTGTCAACGCTTCAAAGCGAATGCCGGCGTTCCGTTATGAGGATTCCGGAATGCCAAGCCATCGATAATAGAACTGAGTCCCCGGGCGGGGAGAGAGGCCGCGACACTCCAAGCGATTTCCACTGGATGCGTGTGACCGTGACGGGTTCGCTCTCATCGGCAGTCGTTCTGCAGCTGACTATCCGAAGGTTATTCCTTCACCCTTCGGCGGTATAGTCTTCCCCGCGATCTGCATGGATCAAGATGTGAGATGCGCGGAGAGAGAGCTCCGAACGCTGGAATGAGCACGCCAAGGACAAAATGAGGCTGTTCAGTGAGTCTCGAGGCAGCCGACAGCGCTGAGATGAGATTCACCGTAATTGATAAGTCGTTGATGGCAAAGCACCAAACCAGCTTCTCACGGCAATATAACCCTACCGGTATCGACTTTCTCGGACTTCCTAAGATTTCCACTGTCAGTAGTTTATCTCTACAGACCACGCCTTGCGAACACCAGAAAGCTTCTCCCAACCGCGCCACCCGGCGAGAGGGATGATTAGTGACTAGGTACCTTGCGTCCTGTCGTTCGTGCTCACAGAGGAGAACAGCGACCGGCAGGCATTCCGACGTCATCAAAGAGGATTGGGAGGTCTCCGCGGGCCTGGAAATACATTCTTCCATTCCCCCCGCCGCTCCTCCGATGGATGGTTCGGATATTAGACGAAGTGTCTACCCTCTTCCACCACCTCTACTTCCTCACGACAAATGTTATTCAATGTCTCGTTGGCGAATCTCCTCCACTAATAGCGGTTTTCGAGAGCGACTAGCAGACAGACAATCCATGCAGCCGCATGATCATAGCGCCGTAGCGTCTCGCTCAAGCCTGTATCGCACCCGGGTCTTTGGGAAGCGATGCCAGTATTCTCATCCTATCGACCGAACTCACCCACTCATCCGAGCCATTTCAGTGAAGATCAGTGCCGATTCCTTATGCGCAGAGGACAAAGATTCAAGAACTTCTTTATTCCGATTTCGTGCTCCATGTCGATTCGAGTTTAGGTTGGAAAATTCGCGCGACCCGTCCAATAACTGAGCAGACTCGAGCCCACTGGGCTAGAGCCTACTCAAGGCTTCAAAGGGCAAATGCAATGATATGTCACATTTTTCATCATTTATAATTATTAGGTGCATGGGGTCATCTCCCAAGACCCACCGTTTCGACTCAAAACTAATCCTCCGGCGTCGTGGGCGCATAGATCCGACCTCGTGTGACGTAGTAAAAGTCCGTCATTCTCACATCAATTGCAGAGCAGGAAGAGATGCATTTGAAACGAACAAATCATAGATGTGTGTATAAGTCCCCGATGACCAAACCCCGTCCCTGGCGTGTATGATATCACATCCCTCTCTTCTGTGGGAGCTGTCCATATCGATGGTCCGATCGAGGATACCGGAGAACCGCCCCTGGAATTTCGCGAGAATCCCTCCTTTTAATGCTATAGAAAGCTTGCTCCTGCGCAGCCATCGGTCGACAAAATTTGGGACTTGTGACCTCCACTCTATGTTTCCCTTCCGGACTCTCTCTCGCAGATTGACACAAATAACCGAGGAACTGTCCTTGGGTTACTAGAATCGCTCTGAAATGGATTGTCCGATCACAGAGAGTCCTCGACGCCACGTCGGGGGTGATGACGACGCTGTCTCCGATCGCCTTCGTACTCCTGTCTGGACGGATTTCTCTTCTAGTGGTGTGGGATCCGTTTGAGTGCCCTCCGATTCCAATTCCGTCGATAAGTAGATACCTTGTTGATGATGCTGGAACAGAATTCGTATTAGCGGCAGAATGAAGCTCGGCTGTCGGAGAGGCATCGGTGAGAGCCGTCGGTTCTCCTGAATGCTGCTGCTCTTCTGCTCCTGAGCTGGTTTTTCCGCGCCGACTGAGAGATTTTGAGCTAGCGGAGGAACTTCAAGAATGAAGAGCTCACCTTCGCGGCTTCGCGCCGTTGGAATTCGGCTTTGGCCATTTCGATCTGTACCCAGTGGGGCACGTCAGGAATAGCGAATGCAATAGCGAATTTCAGCAAGAGCAGAAGATGTTCTACGATCACGACGATTATGATTGTCTCCAGCTTCCCGAGTGATGGCCACATGCGTGTCAATTGGCCATTCAGACCAACCAGTGTACAGTTTACTACCACGGCCAGCATCCCCATAATTTCCATTGCGTCCTGTCGGAAACATCTGATTAGAACAAGCGTGAAGAATGTAGGTCTTCATCGCTCGAATTGAGTCGTCGCCATGGTGGGAATGGCGGTGCTCGATGAAGCTCGCCGATGATTTGATAATATCGAGAAGTGTCTCAACATCAGCTGACCTGCCAAGTTCCAATATTTTCTGCGGGTTGTCCGAAAGGCCTTTGGAAAATCGCGCACAGCTTGAAGGCATCGCTGCGAATCTCCACGACGTTGTTCACGAACGCACACAGTGCCGCTAAGGGAAATGCCGACGAGAAGAGCACAACGTAACCGAACTGGATGAACATCTCCAGGTAGTCCTCAAATGTGCCATCGTACTTCAAGGTGGAATTCGGAAAATAAAGATCATCATCAGTATCAGGTTAAGAACGACGGATTCGGATCTTCGAATTCGCAGCGGACTGCGCGGATGAATTCTCGAGCTCACCCTGTACATCGCGGCCTCAACCTCAGCCTGAGAAGGTCCAGCGTCAGGGGCCGTATCGGAATGAGTTTGATCCTGCGCATTGCTCTCCACGGCGGAAGCTCGACGTCTCGACGTCATTTCCGCGAGACAGAGAGTCTCCACAATGTACGGCACTAGGGATTCCTTGATATTCCCGACGACTTGGCGAGTGATGAGGAGTGCTGCGAGCTGATCCTTGAGTTTGTCCATGTCTTGGAGGTAGAATGCGATGTAGAAAAGAGACAGGAAAGAATTGACGAATTGGAACTGTAAAAGGAAAACTACACATTCAGAATTGTGGCTGGCTTCGGGTCCATGTCGATCGCTTCAGAAGCTCACTATCGCGGTTGCTGGTATCGGTGCAGTATAAGCGGCGATTCCTCACCACAGATATCTTCATGATAAGATGGTTTTCATAGCTCTCCTCCAGGCGGTAGTTTTCTGAAAGACAGAAGACCTCAAGCTTCGAAAGGTTCTTCAGGCCGATAGGATATCAATCCCTCACGTATGCGAGTCCCACCTTTGTCGTTCAGCCACACCGCGATTTTCTTGTAAACTGTATCTGTGATCGGTATAATCAGAGCGAAGAGAATTTTCGGCAGCATCGACATCATCCAGCCCTTGAAGCTGTCATCTCTGTATCTGAAACAAACGCGGAATCGTGTTTTGTGATTGTTTTTGTAATTCTTTGACTTCTGACTGGGTCGTCCGTTCGGAGCGTCGGATAATTATTCGACAATTCAGATTATTTTAGTGTCGCGGAGCGTAGCAGTATATATAAACTTCCATCCCCTCTAAGAGGCGGCATTCCCCGTTCCCGGACCACTGGGCGAATCAATCTCATGATAATCTTCGGTGGCGTTTAGCGAAGTGCAGGAAATATTTCCGTGGAATCTCTTGAAGAAGGAGGTCGACCAGATCGAAGAGGATTTCCGTCAGCGGTGATTCAGCTTTTTCAGCCGCTCTGCAGTGTATAAGTGCAGGGGAAGCAGCGAAGAGCACTTGCGAACGGAAGACACTCCACTGAGCCCTCTCCTGGTGCACCGTTGCTGGTTGGCGGTTCTGTTTGACGGTCAGGTCACGGCTAGGGGAGGAGGAACGCCGGCCGGCCCAGAAAAACGGCCGGCGGAGCATCTGAACTCAGCCTCACGCATCACCAACTGGAAATTCAGCGTTGCGATTCCTCGGCTCTCCCGATAGTCATCCAGGCACACGGATCAGTTGACGGGGAACCGCTTCCACAGCGGCACAATATTCCCATCACATTGTCGGTCGAGAGCGGGTTCTCAAGCGGGAGGGATGGGATGAAGTCATATATTTTCCGGAGCTCGATAGTCCAAGAAAACTGACTGGGATAGCGATTCGAGAATGTCATCCATAGCGTCCCCGGATAGTCCCTCTTTGGACTTCCAGAGACTGTCCATGAGCAATGAAGAGTCTTGACTTTTTCTTCAAATAATGTTCTATTATGATATAGAAATAATTTATTCTCCGTATCGCATTCTGTCCGTAGCCTAACATATTGCGTATTGCAACGATCCTCGATTTATTTCCCAGAGAGAAAGATTGACTAATGTTAAGCTGGGGTTTCGTCTTCCTTATCACCTTTTGTTGCTCATGTTGCTATTACGCGGAACGATTACTCCTGTGAGTACAGAGTGTGATCGCGGTGGCGCCAAACTATTCTTCATGTACAACTATGGACTTGCACGTATTGTTCACGATCAACGCTCCTCGACTTCTACGGTGATGTGTCGACTGTTATCGATTCCCACATTGCTTGTGATAATTATCGAATGAAATACAAAAGAGGGAATGGGGCGAATAATTTTGATTGAAATGCCAGAAACAGAACGGAGAGCTGCCTGAGGAGATTAAGAGGAGGTTGTGATCCTCGACCGATCCAAGTTCGTTCGTTTCTCTGCCATGATCTCGACGGGACGACTCTCGCAACCATCGGTGAAATATCCATCGTAAGGATGCACACCAAAGCATCCTAGTGAAGTGCTCTACCCCTTTCTCTGGAGCGTATGCTTATACTTTCTCGGAATGAGGTTCAGCGAAGTTAGCGCGCTTCCGATCACGGTACAGAATGAAGTTCATCATAAGCCAGGGAATGTACGAGGACAATTAATTGTATTAGAAATCTACTCGTTCGAAGCCCAAATGTCAGGGTTTCATTTTTTCCTCCCCCTCCTCGCTAGCCTCGCGGAGCGACCGAATCTTCCAACGAGGTCATTATGTTCGTATACATACATAGATCAACACAATCGAATAAAGTATCGCTGTCTCGACTTGAATAATTTTACTCCGCTCTAACTAGATCCGTGATCGCATGGATTGGGCCTCCTTTCAGCTCGCGAAACGAGCGAATTCGTCTCGGAAGTTTACTTCTGATAATCCGAGCACGGTATTTGTTTGGTTGTTATATTTAAATATCAATTACTTAATGCATATTCTCGTATCCGTACAATGATAATTGTATAAAAAGTAGCTATTAGCAATGATTGAATAATCTATAGGGAGAAAAATAACATGAATCAATATCACGTATCGATCACAACTCACGACGTGTCGACAACCACAGAGAGTATATACAACGACACAAGGAATATTTACACAACAGTTAAATGTAACAGGACTCATCGCGTTTAGATAGTTGTTGAGATTTAGGTTAGAACTTGAGCTAATCTGTTGAGAAGAGCTCTTTGTGTAGCGGAGGCAGATCTACATCAGGGTAGGCCATTTTCAAGCTTCGAAGGGCGTCGAGATGACAACGAGAAAGATTACGAAGTATGCTTTGCTGGTTGAGAAGATGATCGATTAGGTTCACGTCGCCTTTAATCGGTTGCTCGCGGGAGCTTTCAAAACGGAGACATTTCAGAAGAGCGTTCGACACTCGTTCGATTTCAGATATACATTTAAGACCGCCACGCTCCGGTGACACGAGCACGCAAGCACAGTATAGCGCTAGCTGCGTGTCGTCGAGCTTGAGGTTGGCCAGAAACCTAACGAAGTCGAACACACCGGATACGAGCTTCATTTCAGCCGTGTCCGATGTGAAGAACACGTCAGCCGGCACCAGAGTGTCTCCGTACAGAACACAATTGGATTCGGCATCGTAGTAACGAGTCATACGCAGAACACACAACTCGAAGCAGGCGGCTTTTAGCAAGACAATCTGGTCGTCCTGGGAGAGTTTCATGAAGCCGGGTATCATTTTCGCGAACTCGATCACCTGTTGGATGACTTGCGTTAGCTTGTGGGAGCAGTCGATCCAGAGCTGTTCCTGCGACATGTTTCTGTAGTACTCCAATTTGCTGCTGTTGGTACCCGACGACTTCGCCTGCAGAATTTTGATCTTGATCTCCTCGTCACTCAGCAGGCAGGTTCGCAAGTGGGCGTCGCAAATGGTCTTCGACAGAAGATCGAGATGAGCTGGCTGTACTGGAAGCTGTGTCTGCGTGCTGGAAGCCGGCGTCGTAGAGCACAAGGTATCAACGTCACTGCATTGGTTAGGGTCAATGCTCCGAATGTTTGGGAAGTCTACATCGAAGCTCGTCGAGCACAGACTGTTCGAGTCGTAGCCGGAAACGTTGTAGAAGTCGGTAGAAAGGTCATCTTGGAATTGATAGTTCACCTGTTGCGGCTGGGGGAACGTCGACGACGGTTCATATATCACAACGGTGGAATCGGGCATGGCGACATCTGAGCTAGGCGTGGGCGTTGGTGTCGACGGATTGCTGGACAGACCCATCTGAGCTCGGTGGAATCTCACTTCGTCCTCAACCTTCTCACGCTGTTTCTTGCTCATCCTGCCGAATTTTACCGCGTCTCGACTCATGCCCAACGACAGACATTTCTGTAGCCGGCAGTACTGACACCGGTTTCTGTTCACCCGGTCGACCACACAGTTCTTCTGGCGTGGACACTGATAATTGACCACGGAGCTCTGGGATCTCCTGAAGAATCCTTTGCAGCCTTCGCACGTGATGACACCGTAGTGTACTCCTGAGCTTTTGTCGCCGCACACCTTGCACGGAATTATTTCTATTTGGGATCGGATGGCTTTGTTCTCTTCTACCTTCCATTTGGGGGGCGGAGGAGAAACCACTGTGTGTTCTTCCATGAGGAGATCGTCCCTGACCTTGATCAGAGTGGGGCTCGGGGTGCTGGGCTGGGGGATCTCGACTTTTGTGCAGAACATGTTCTGCGTCGAGATCCAGTTCTTCGGACTGCCCATCACCGAGTCGAGGGCCGCATCATCCAGCGTGCCGGAGATTAGTAGGCCGTCCAGGATGAATGTCTATTCTGAGTTTGGTCGTACACAAAAAAAGGATGGAACACACTGTTCGAGCTCCTGCTTCGAGGATCTCGACACGGACGGCGGAGCGGCGCGCGTAGTCTGCGAGCAACACTACGGAAGTAACAGCGGCCGCTGTGGCGCAGCGAGCTCTCCGAGCGGGTCACCAACGGACGATGAACCTGAGGAGGATGACCCAGTGATCTAAAGACAAGAGTTCGCGCCGCCGAAAGGGGGAAATAGGAAAGGGACGAACGCTAAGGACTGTTCCTTCGCTTGCCGCGGTCGACGTCAACTTGTAACAATCTCGTTGCAACAAAGGTCAACTTTGCCAGGGAGGAAAAAAAACACCGAATCCAGGACAAGCTGACCTTGAATGAAGAGGATATTGTACTGAACCCATTCCTAACAGGCCGCCTCAAAAGGCACGATTCGCGTAGCCAACGTAACACGTGTGGCCTGTCGACGTCAAGTTCACGGTTTCTGGGTCAGAAACCTTGTCAGCGCCCAACGACTCAATAGCACGCTTTCTGACAGCCACGAGCGACTTCGACGAACTCTAGTCCGAGCACGTGATGTGTCGGAAGCTGTCTATAGGTCAAGGCGCGGATCTATCATGAGCTCTAAGCATTTCTCGAAAAGATAACAAGGGTGACAGAATTTTTTCCCCTCGAAATCTGCGCGACGCACCCGATGATGGGATCCATGTAAATCGTAGGAGATCGAGGAGACCACGTAGCGAAGAAGCCCTAGCGGGGGAACATTCCCGTTCGAAGGGGGCACAATTCCGTGTGTAGCTCCCTGCTCCTTCGGAAAGGACTCGGACTCCGCGGGAATTCTGTCGGAACCTTTTCCCTCTTCGTTATTCGATTGAGATTGTCTGTTCTCGAAGAAGTACCTCGGTGGCACAAAATGAGCTTCTTTGTGAATAGAGAGCGCCTCTGTGTGTTTGTCTCTCCCAGGTGTTCACCTGCATACGAGTGGACGAGCGACACCGGCACTCGACTCCGTAACCGGCCCGTCGGGACGCTCCGTTATTCAAACAGCGGTTTCCTCATTTTCTGCCGTTGTTAGACTTGTCAGAGAGTTTTTAGCATATTTTTTCCCTCGGTTCAACGACCTAAGTGTCCGTCAATCGGACGGTCAGTTCAGAACAGACCACCCATTATAGGCTACAATGAGACAGGCTAGAAACGTTAGCCGACGGCGTCAACAGAAACTCTTCTTCCGCGAAAGGTTATTGAACTCAACTCTCTCGACGGATCGACGGCGCGCCGTCGTAAGGGGAGAGGCAAATCGTCTCTCCAAGGGCAAACACTTAGGAAGGCCGTGTGGTGAGGCACGGCAGAAAATCAAGACAGCACGCTGCCCCGGGAGCATCCGAAACATCGCTCCTGTCGCGAGCCTCCCGACAAGATCGTGAGGCTGCCGGCGTCTCGTTCATCGTACACTTTCTGAGGAATCGTTTCTTGATGTTGTTTACGTGATGCACCCGAATCGTACCGGGTATGCAAAGGTACTGGCTACCTTTGGAAGCAATACTGCCTCCGAGCAATAAGTGTGAAAGTGGATCGCACACGCGTCTTGGCGTTGGACGATTTCGGGGGACAACACGTGGACCTTGTCCATGGAAATCTACAGGAACTCAGCTCGCTCCGTCGGCGGTCGTCCCGAGTGGAGTTCGGGAATGGCATTCCAAGGAATCTGTTCCCAAATACAGCCAAGTATTTTGTGTCTGTTTGCGATGCATTCAGAATTTAGCCAGCTTAAGAGTTTTCTTGCGGACAGCTATTTATTGTGAGAAAGGAGACTTGCATGGCATTCCATTGCGATTTGGCGACAATCTGCGTAGTAACCTAAATCGGCAGCAGCTACGGCGGCGGCACTGGTAGCCGCGGCTCTCGCTGCCAGAGCGCCGGCAGCGTCGACTAGCTTCGAAAGGCAGCTGAGCTAAGCCAGGTTTTGTTCGACCAAAAGAAATTCTCCGCGCCATGTCCACACAGATCGTCGGTCTCGGAAAGTATCGTTTGCTTTGCGGAGGAAGTCTACTCCGAATGATTTATCTAGAAGCGTCTCTCCGTCTTCTGAGGAAAGTTCCTCATCGTCGAATTCATCAGCATGCCCGCACGGAGAGGATCATGAATGGGATGAATGATTGCTACATTCCCTCTCTGGGATAATATGTCGGCTTGATTTGAGCATTACAGAAAGAGAAAACACTAGAAATAATTGCTAGTTTGTACACTTCCCCTAGGTGGCATCCTTCCCTCAATGATTATTGGAGAGCTGCTCAAAACTGGCTCCGAGGACCGAAATCAATCCCCGACCCATGCGAAGAGCTTTGCCAAACAGATGATTCCCCCTGAACTTCATCATTATTTCCCTAAAACTCTCATTGTTCGACTATTCGAGCCGACAAATCCGTCAGCCATTGAGCGCTCACCTTTTGTCCGTCCATGTTTGAAGTTGTAACATGAGTAGCATGACTCCGAGCACCACCACAAGGCACAACGAGATCACAGGCAGTGTGACTAGGTAACGGAAGAGGTTTCGCTTCCATTTCGGATATCGTGGCTCCATTCTGCCCGTTACCGGACTTTTCACCATTTGACCCTGCGGTTCAGAGAAGTCGACTTTTTACGCGCCCACGAACTTGGCCTGGGGTACCTACTCATATGAGTAATTTTAAATCAGAGAGAATCGAGTCCGAGAATATCTACGTCCCGCTGCATTCTCTAGGTCCCCCGATGCAATGGAGATAAAGAGCTGAGAAGATTCTGACTTAAAGTCTGAGAGAGTCGAGAGGTCTATCGGTGTCGAATTTCGGCGGGACTCTTCTGGAACCGGCGGTTCCCGCAGCGAGATTACAGCTCCCAGTCGGATCGAGAGGGGCCGCCGAGGAACGCCGAGGAGTTGGCCAGCCCTCGATCCGGCGATTCGAGCGACCTCTGAAGTGAATATACAACATATATTTTCTTACTTTATACCCTACGCGTGAGATGATAGATATCAGCAGACGAGTAGTAACTCCAACGAATTGGGTAATATGTACATAAGAGGAGGGAGTCGGAGCGCGGAACCGATCAAGAATGAGGTCGGGACAGATTTCATTTTCATTTCGGGACATCTCGCGCTGCCCCGAACGGCATCGTCTTCTGTAGTAGTTTTCTGTGGGACGGTCGTCTTGCTGGCTTACTGACTGGCTCGCTCGTTCAGTCAGTCGTTTGCTCGTTGGCCGACGCTTGCTTGGTTGGCCTTCGTTTCTGCCTCCACAGAAGATGTAACACTGACGTAAGCGGCGCTTCGGTGACGGCTCAGCTGACCCACTTCTGGGATTCAAGCCGGCAGTCCATCCACGCAGATGTTCGCTTGTCTTCTGAATTGCACGCCATCGTCGACCGAGCGAGGGACCGACTAGTCGGCGGGCAGGTTGGCCAGGCGGCCGGCTGATTCGTCTGTTTGGCTGGCTGGCTGGCCGGGTTGCTGACTGACTGACAGACAGACTCACTGATGACTGGATGGAGGCTATTCAGAATTTTGCATTCATGACTGCGCCCGCTCGCGTAGAATAGAATGCTCAGTTATCGAGTCTTCAACTCCAGCTTCTGCCTGATCCCACAGCGGAGGTAGTCGCTCCCTCAGGTCCCCTCAACCGCGTTACATCAATTGCTGCCGAAGAGGCCGTGCAGTCATCATGCTGGAGCCGAGGATGAAGACCCACCGCCTTGTCGCCGAGGCTCGACTATCCGCGATAATTCCAGTCGGCTGCCGTCAGCTCTTCCGCAATTTCCAAACAGACGATATTGTGGTTCCCGAATTCTGGTAGAAGAAGCTGCGGCAATGCCGCGAATCATCTCCGGAACGAGACGCACGGCTCTCCCTCCAATCGTTCAAGACTCGATGCTCGATGTCAGTTTCTTGCAGACGCGATCCATTCCGCTAAGCCACACGGAACGGTCTTCGATCAGTGAAGGCATCCGCATGTGCAGGCCGATCGCGGCTCATCGCGTGCCAACAGGGCCACGCCACGCAGCAGTGTTGTGACGCATGAATTATGTCAGCATAGCGGGCCATGTGTTATGCGTCTATTGTTGAGCTCTACGCGTACAGACGCAAACGCTCAAAGACCGACCGTCAGCCACCGCACGAACCGACGTTTCTGAATCTAGGTTACAGAAGAGCAGGATGGAACGACGTAAACGAAAACCGTATGCAAAAATAGAAAGTCCCTAGCAGCGCGAAATCGCCGCCCTTTTTGTCAATGCGCGAATTTCCAGAAGCATCCGACAGACTAGCAGACGATTCTCGACCTCCCTCTTCGTTCCGACCACTGAAATATCTCCATCCTCATACCATGACGGCGTCTTCGTGAGACTTGGGAGAAATATTCGTTACGGACCGTGTGATGACACCCGATCTCTTAGACTCCGCCTTCAGGCAGAAACCTCCTGTCGGTTTGAAGAAGTTCTTTCGGTGACGGAAAATTATCCGGTAATCCGTGGAATTCGATTTGTTCGATCCCGGACTTCGCGGTTTCAAGATATCATCCTCAGGCATAGACGAAGTATTTTAAGCAGGCCTGAAACAATTCGGGCTCCCCGAAAGTTTTCCTGATGTATGTTCATGAGATGGAACAATCTGGCGGATACATATTATTATGTTTACAGGGCCAGTTCGTTCCATTCGGACGAGTTCTGAGATTCCCACTACGAGCGTTCCACGTTGGTGTCTTGTTCAGAATTCTCCGCAACTTTCTCGTACCGACAAGAGCCAGTTCTGGATGTGGGTCACTGTCGAGAAAGAGGGAAAATTGACTCGAGCGAAGAATCGCTGCACGCTTGCCTCTCTGGAAGTCCCGCGATTCGCTTGAGGAAAGTATTTCCAGAGAACATCATCACAAGCAGCATAGTGGCATACGTTGTCGTTATCGACGACAGCCGTCGCATCATTCCCCGGCAAAAATCAAGGGAAAATTTTTCCATTCCAAGAATCCATAACCGGATCGATCGAACGCTGCCTTCTCCGGAGAATTCAAGCCTCAAGAGTCCGGTCTTCATTCGAACTCTCGTTCGAATGGCGAAGAATCGTACGGCAAAGTATTCAAGCCGAAATCTCGGAAAAGGTGGAAGCCACATCGTCAGTGTATGAAAAGCGCACCCGAGAATGAATTATTGCTCCCCTTTATCGGGAGCAGATGGTCAGTCCGAGCAGAGAACTTTGAGATTTAGAGAATCATCCCTAGAAAGAGATCCATCAGTCTATCGCCGAAACATCAATATCGCACACCGAGGTGTCAATTTGGCTGCTGAAGAGCTCTTCAATTTCCTCCATGACTCTAGTAGACTGCCGAATCAGATCGTTCGGAATGCGGGAATCATCCTTCAGAATCTTGAAGAATGATTTAGGCATATTTCACGAGAGCCCATGGGAGAACTGGTACGCCGTAATTGCTGGATAGTGCTTTCCTTCATTGATGACAAGGAGTGCGAGCAGGGGAGAGAAGTTCTGGGAGGGAACGATGTCGAAGAGGACGACCAAGCATCCAAAGATTGAAGTTTCTCGACGATGACTTCCTCTCTTCAACCGATATTCGAAGCAAACGCCAAATGTTTACCGTTGACCTGGCGACGCAAGGTTCTAATTTGATGACTTGAAGCGTGCACGAATCCGGGAGACGTACTCCGAGGAATCCCCAGAGGGAACCCTCTCGCCGAGGTAGAAGATCACCACTGCCGGCAAGCGAGAGATCCCGTCAGGATGTCGTGAAGCTTGGTATACTTCCTCGTGGATTGAGCGAGGAAGTTGTGAGAACTTGCGGAGGTAGACCGTTCGGCTCGAATGCAGTGAGCAGAAGCAATTAAAATATCTCCGTTCAGAGGAGACAGCAAAATCGTGAACTTCAAATCACTCGACTCATAAATAGGCGTTCAAACGCGCGATTCCACGATTAACGCACGGCGAAAATTGCCAAGGCTCTAAAAATATTTTCCGAGGGCTGGGAGCATCTAATCGCAGCTCGCTCGTGCATCGTAGGACTAGACGGTCATTGAAGTCGGATTCGAATGCTGACTAAATACTCATAGACCGAATTCGATTAATTCTGTGATGTATCCTGCTCACTTAATGGAACGGAGTCTAAGTCCGGTGCAGCCTTCGCGAACAAGGACTCGGTACTCGGTCACAGGTTGACTTCGGACAGCCTCCGAATACACCTTGGTCGGAAACGTTCCGATGAGCCTTGTGCCCAATCGGATGAGCTCCACGGACTCCCTTTCCCCTGACTGAAGAAATCTCGTGCCGTCGGACGGATCGGAAGCCAGATGAACCCTGGACGTCGAAGAGGTTATAAGAGGGTCTCTGATTATGAATATCCTGACCCGGTCCCACGCACGATCCCCTTCGCTTCGATATCATTTACTAGTGATGGGAGGGATGCAGAATCCCCATCATTCCAATCGTTTCAGTATCATCCCAAGCTTAGTTCCGTAGATTCCCGGGAGGTATTCAGAAGCCCGTAGAACCACATAGAAGCTCACTTCCTCTAGCCTGAGGTGGATCCCAGAGGAAAGATTCTCCAATAGTTGTTTCACTATTCACCCACCTTGAATAATGGTCGTGGCACAGAAAGCATTTCGTTGGAAACGTCCAGAGTTCCCCACATATGAGCCAACTCAGAGGATTTCCTCTTCCATGATTCCAAGTATAATGTAGCCCACACAACATTTAGCAGGGCGAACAGTATGAAGCAAAGATCTTCGTGACGCTGGAAAAGCACAAGCAAGGTGCTACGTGAGTGCGGTGCCGTCGCTGGGAATTCAGCTTCCCTTGCTGATCCTTCCTGCCACTCTGCGAAACTTCTGGATATCCCAGACTTCTCGAAAAAAAGCTGGAACCCCACAAACCTGGTCCTTGCCATAGCACGATATCCAAATGCATAGTCCCATGATTGCGGGAAAGAAGAGGGCGGTCGTGTAGTGGCCCAACCAGCCGAAATACATGGCGATCTTCACCCCGAAATAATTCGCGACGTCATCCAGAGGCTGAGAATCGAAGAGCCGATTGACCCAATTAGTCTTAAGGTTCCGTAAGGGTTCTTCTTCGTGAAGCGGGTAGATCTGCTCGATTATTCCCTCGATCCGAAGTCGCTGTACTGAGGGCGAAAAAACTGTGAGACCTGAGTCCCAGCCACGGGAGCGATTCTCTGTGGCTCGAAATCGGAACTCCGCTAGCGATGATCTCCATCTTCTCCGACCTCAACGTATCCACTGACTTACTCAAGGATTGTCCTTCTAGAAGAAGCTTGCCCCTAACGGTGTCTCTGGCTTCCGTGCGCATGGAGTTCAGGAAATACATGACAATCTCTTGACGTTCTTGCGTTGATAGAAAACGGGCGATATCTCTTTCCTCCCATATTCCGAACGGATCATCGCAGCAGAATTCTTTGAAGCCGCCTCCGAACTCCGATCGAACGCGTTTTCGCACGTGGAGCTCTTCCGCACCTCGTAGTAAGCTGCAGAAGAGCGAATCAAGGCCGATTAACCAGGGGAAGAATGCGTCTCATCCCAGCGCGTATAGAGTACACCTCGGGACGTTATGACGCTTTGTGCGTCATGCTATCCGGCCACGCGACCCGTGGACCTCCTCCTGACTTACGTCGGCATATCGGCAGTGCAGCTCAGCATGATCAGCTTGAAATATCCATGATGAGATAGTCTCACTATCAGATGGGGCAATCGCTCCTCGAAAGTTCGGAGGAGCCATTCTAAGAGTATTTGATCTGTCGAAGCCGGCAAGGTGAGGACCACATCGCATTCGGCTTGAGAGCTGTGACTTCTGTTCCAGAAATTCTCCAGGAATCTCGGCCCGGACTCCCTGAACAGCTGTTTCGAAACCGCTAGTCGACGTCCGATCAGACGCCCAGCTGCGATGGAAAATACATGCGTGAGCCCTCATCAGCAAGCGAGTCGCGTGGGGCTAATTGAACACCGCGCCTCCCCCTTCGTGAGGAACTATTCAATAGCGGTTTCCACCAGTCCGACGATCGGATTAGCCCCTTGTTAGACGAGCCATGATCGCTGGTCAACCCGGAATGGAATCGGAGCATCTTACCTTCAGTAATCGATTTATGTAGCGGTAATCTCCGTTTGCGTTTGCGTATTTCCATGATCCCTCACTCAGAGCTCTATCGGAGACTTCGCCACCTCGAACTCCGGGGAGAACAGAGCTCTATCAAGTCTTCCGTCACGGCTAGAGTGACTCACAACAAACTCACAATCAGCCCATCCGGCGTGGGCGACCCATCCAGACGAGCGGCCACAGCTGACTGGAATCTTTGTGTTGTTTCAGACGTGGAAATCCTCCGTGCCGAAGGGGGAGTTGAGATCGCGAGGTGTCGAGTTTTCGAAGGATCAGACCATTTCCCCCTTCGACGTTTATCCGTCGGTTAGACTTCCCGTCACAGAGAAATTCACAAGCGGCAAGGTCTCGGAGCGCTCTCATCGGTAGCGCCGATCAGAAACATGCCGACGGCCGAATCGAACACCCTTGGAAGTCTGTCACGAATCTCAGGTGGACCGCGAGCGGAACTTTTTTGAACACGGTCCATGTGTACTGCAGGGTCTAGATACCAATGCAGTCTACCAAAACACGACCTAGCGCCACCTAGCGAACGAGACCGAGACCTCGGAGGGTTCAAGCTACAATTTCTGATGTCTCAGAGACTGCATCCCTCAGATACGACCCATCACAATTGAGTGCGCGAGCGACTGGCTTGTTATGGTGGGAAACGTATCAACATTGATCGTCAAGCGATGTAGCAACCCGGTCTCGACGGAGTACGGGAAGAATTCGAGGGGGTTCAGGAAACCCAGAGGAATTTTCGTCTCAACTTCGGGAGTTGATCGTGTAGCTTCCAAAGCTGATGATCGTTCTCACCCCCACAGGAGCTGACATGGCAGAATTATTCTGAAGTCTCCATGGAAATATATTGGTTTTCGGAAAAGGGATCGCAAGACCTCGACCGAGAACAATGAAAATGTTGAAGACGATGGCGCCCGCTCGACTTCACCCACGCAGCCCGAGCGGGAATAAATTCTCGGAATGCATCTCGGCGCTATGCAATTCGTGGTGTTCTAAAAGAGCCCAGCTGATCGGCAGAGAGCCTCGATCGGGGGATCACAGACTTCCCGTCGCTCCGCCGGTCGGCACCGAACTCGTGACATGCGTGAAGGTGCGGAGGCTATGGTTGATCGCCAATGTACTGGACAAGTCTTGGCGTTGGCTAACGAGGGCTTGGTATGAACTCGGTGTACGAGAGAGGGCAACGAATTTCGAAGCAGCTCTTCTCGATACCGACGCCGGGAAGGCAACGGCCTTTTGAAGGCCATTGCCCCGAAGGGGCAGAGCGGGTTTCAAACGGAGCGATTGGAACGATAGGACCTATGTCTCTGACAGGACGATGCCCCGAGAACGATTACTCTCGCGGCTCCGCCGGCTCAGGTACGTCTACACTAGTCGATGCGAAGCGAACTTGTTCCCCTGGACGAGAGTCCAAGCCGTTCTCTCGATATTCACACTCTATTACTTGAAGATCATTTCCCGCAGAAAAAGGTCCGCTCCGGAAGACAAGAGCGGAGATGAAGAAGATTAAAAAAGAGGGAGGATCGATGGTTACTCTTCAGTTTCTACTGGAACCAATCGGTGTCTGTCTTCCAGAGGTCTAAGGTTCCGATGGCGAGCTCACATCCAGAGGGTGATGATAATTTTTCCGAGCGGAGGAACTGTTTCGAGGCAGCGCATCGCAAACGCCGCCAGACACCAGTTTCGACTATCTTTGCTCTACGTACCGATGGACGGTCCGGATCGCAGTCGACGGAGCTTCGCGTGCTGAAGGTCGCAGAAACCACTGAAGTGTCATTCAGTACTCAGAAAAAAGCAGAGGCTATAGAATGGGAGAGAATGAAACGAGCGCCAGAAAAGGTCTGTGTTTGCCAGTCTGTCCGTCCCTCGGCACCTCCGTCTCCCTCCCTGGAAAATCATCATTCTTGACGAGAGGGTGGCTCACGTTTGCCTGTAGTTTATATCCGGAAGAGCACCGGAATTTATGTTCCGTACTTTCGAGCATATTCACTTCTGAGGATGCGCTGTGGGCCCGCATGGGATCTTTATAAGGCGGAAGGAGGGTGTCGCTGAAGCGTTGATGAGACGCCCCTGGCTCCGCTTTTGGCATTGAGACCCGCGTCGTAGCATTTCCGTTTGCGCTTTGTGTGCGGATAAGTTCTTCTCGCGCCTGGAGAAATATGCCGCGCGCTGCTCACTCGGGAGGCTTCCCTAGACCTCTCCTGTTTTATTTATTCTCGAATGGTCGTCATTCCACTCCCGAGTCGTCCCTCGTTTCCCTTCCCTTCTTGAAGACTAATTCTCAAAAAAATCTACCGAGGGATTGGACTGGAATTCGTCCGCGGACATCAATCTGTGTGCTTTCTCCCCGGACAGTACAAAAATATCGAGAAAGTTTGGCACGGTGCTGAAGCCCAAACTGGGGGGCGGTCGTGGAAACTCGGAGGAGCGTCGTGAGAGTGGTTGCTTTGACCGTTCAGACGGATCTTCGAGAAGAGGAGAATATTTTTCTTGGCTTCCTCAGAATTCTGATCACTGAATTCGACTGCCTGAATGATTCGCTGCCGGGAAGCGCGCCGTAATTTCCAGAATATCCAAATTGTTTTAAAACTCGCGCTCGTCTACTCTCCTTGCGTCATGTGACTGACAGGATTTTGGACGAGGAATATTTGGCAGTCCACGACTGGACCGGAATCGAACCACTGCCGGAACAGGACAAACTCAAAGAATCGAGGAGTGAGGTATCCCCATCCTTGCTATCCGTGTCCGCTCAGTTCTAAAAGATGAGGATATTCTCTGAGAAACTAGGAGAAGCTGGTACATAGAACCCGCATTAGGTCCAACGGATCCAAAATCATCTGGACTAGCTCAGTGAAGCACTTCCGTAATGTCGGACGAAAATGCCGAAACGAAAGAAGAGGAAAAGGGAAGGAAGAAAACAAATGAGGAATACACTAAAAATATTCACAGAAGATATTTGATGGCCGATCGGCTGCGGTGACCCCCACAGATCTGACAAGAGTCTATCACAGTCAAAATCTGAAAATTATACGGAAGAGACTCATGTCTAATGTTTACAATACGATGTCCTCCACGCAAGCGTTGCGTTTCCCTCCTATGCGGGGGGACGATCTTCCATCACAGATTCTTCCAGCCGAATCTGCTCGCTTCCAGCCGTTCCGTACAGCTGCTTATCACTAGACAGAATCTGAAAATATCGAATGCATTTATTCGTTCCCCAGCGTTCCCGATCTGATTCGATGATTTGCTTGCTGAATTTCCACAACGTTATCCGACCGATCGTGACAATGATCATTCGGCCGGGCTGCGAGCACTGAAGGCTCGGAGAAGAAGTACACAATGCCCCGCTGCCTTAAAATGGAAATGAAATGAATTCTTGAATTCTCTTGCGGGACCCTTATGCGGAACACATTCATTATAACATTTCCGTTGTCACCAGCGAAGACTGCGACGCTCGCGAAGTTAGGAGAATAGCTAGAAAAATAATATTTTCCGTCTCCAGTCTGGATCAAGCTCTGGAACTGATGTCGGTCCAATTAATTCAGCGGATTCAAATTAGCCAGCCTCACCGACCAGAGTGCTTAGACAGGACGTTCCGAAAGAAGTAAAGAGATGACAACGAGACAAACGACGGAGCAGAAGGCAAACAAGTGATCCGCACCAACAATGCATACGGGGCGAATGTCACCCGCGACATCTCTCCCGTGTTCTGCTCGCCATTAACCCAATAAAGAAGGAAGTTGACTTCACTTGGGGCTTCTAATCAGGTCACTCATTCGCTTACTGAGTGACTGCCTGGCTGGCTTACTACCTCTCACTCGCCGAAGCGTTTCTCCGAGTAGGACGTTGTTCTTTATCCAGGGCCGTACGACTGTTCCGGTTCCCGAGTCTTCGATTACGTTCCTTCATCTCCTGTGGGCAAGTGGACCACCGGCCGTCTCTGAATGGGAGAGCTCGGTTCATTCTCCCGATCTCCAGACGAAGCGCGAGCTCACGGCTCTCTTTCGGGGAGTCTGACTTCACGGAGTGAGCAATTTATCGCTTTCCAAGAATATTTACTCCGATCTTCGTCTGCGGCGAGCTTGCGGCATCTGCAAGTTCTCCTGGAGGAAGAGAAAAGAGAGAGTCAAGAGCCGTGGAACATGAGCCACCGTTGGCGTTTTTTTCGTACCACAACAGCGCCGAGAACGAAGCAACAATTCAAACAGCTCACCCTCAGAGCAAGCAAAAAAACTAACTAAACATGCACCATGCCATGTCTCTGAATAAATTGACACCGCGCCACCATCCTTCCGTTCAGGATTGAGGCTTCCGTCCAGACAGACTGGGAGAGAAACAATACTCAGTCAGTCAGAGCGAAACCGCGTTGCATAAGAGGAGCTCGAAACGAGAAATGGGAGGGCGGACCCACTCGCTCGCGGCTCGCATTTATGTTCGTCGGGCATGTGTCCGGGACATCTTCGGAAGTGCTATCTGTCGACACGATCAAGGTCGGGTAATTGTAAGTTCAACTTTGGTCAATCGGCCTCCATTCGCCGAAGCGCTTCCGGCCAACTGTGATGCATATGTATCGCCGATGCCTTCGACTTGTGCCCACCAACGTCGGTACCGTCTCAGTGATGATGGTGTTTTCTTTCTGCATGAAAGTTTCACATGAAAAAATCGACTTGAATGAAATTTCGGAGCCGCATCCGATGCCAAACCTCGCACCGAAGGTAGTTGGCAAGGAGCGTCGTCGCCTTCAAGGGTAGACCGTCGACGACGCCGGCGACAAAGGCGACGGTGGCGAATTCTATCGGTGTCGATCGAAGATGGCAAGTGCGAAGACACCTCCGCCCAACGAGTACATATGTATGTATGCCAACGACGACAAACTGTATCCGGAACGTTCGGATCGTATGTTAGCTCTTCCAACGGAAACTAATACGTCAAACTCCTACTGGATGTTACATAATTATACCACGATCGAGGAATCTGAAGAAGGCCAACAGCCGGCCCAGCATCATTAGCGTCGGGATATGCGTA